TAATTATAGATTTTCTTTTCTTATAGCAAGATAATTCACTGAAAATTGATCATTGACAAGAGTAAAGAGAGGCGAGTGTACAAGCTGTAAACTATATTCAAATGTACAAAGCTATTATCTGTCAGCAACTGGAAATGATAAGATGGAATAGATCGTAAATTTATAATAGCAAGTGATTTATTTTATCTAATATAACTGTTGGAAATCGCCGTTTGAACAGCGTTTACTTTGTTCATAACGTTCTTGTGGTCATTAGCGCGAATAAAGTTCCTTGTCAGATTTCAATATTACTTGTACAGATAATCAATGTTAATAGATACAATGGAGTAATGTGGTTAGTCCACTTGCATATTTATAAGACTATTATTCGTCGGCACATCGAATATTGTTGTCACATCAGGAATCCAATCTTCAATGTTATTGATCCTGGCATCTCGGCCTCAGTCACTTTCCAACCGACGTAACGTAGTTTATTTTGCTTCTTCTATAAATAACGTCATGGTAATTGTTCTGTTGTGTTTTCATTCTTTGGTACCTCGACATCACAAATTTAAGCGTAGTACTAGATTGACAGCTTTTAAAGATGTCCCGGTTGTCGTTAAGTTCAATAAAGTCAAATCAAGACGAACAAACTTGAAGAAGAGAAGTAACACAACAACTATATTAAATTTGACGGGTTTAATCTACAAAAAAGGGTGTATGCACAATAGATAAAAAGAAAGCTTGGAAATATAATTTATATTTGCGGATTTAATTGTTAGGCGAGTGTCCAAGGAACAAGGTGGGCTTCGCGGCATCTGTATTCCATTAGCGTCGGGAGTGACGGCTCCAATAAACATGTGGTCACTACGGTTGTTAGTTGAAAAAGAGGAGGATTTCAGGATCGAGTTTCCCATGTAGCTCCAAGAATGGATCCTGACTGGACAGCAGTTAGCCAATCAGATTCCTGGATTAGTAAGGGTTTCAAGTTCAAGGTTGATCTTTGAATGGTCAAGGGTTAGCTTCCTTTACTATCTCATAAGCTCGGTCTCATAATTGCTAATTGTTGTAACCATAATTTCTATACTAACTGTTTTTTCGATCGATCTTTCCGCATGTGAAATTATCTACCTGCTTCTTGCTTTCATGTCAACTACGATCTTCAAAGGTTTGTTGGGTTGTTATTTTATAACGTCTCACTACCTGAAGATGTTCCGAAGTAAGAATAAATACAATGTACTAAAAAGGGAAATGAAAAGGGGACTGCCAAAATACATTTACCATTTTTATTAAATTAAACAAAAAACAAAAAACATGACATGATATAAACATGATACTTACAAGATTACTACTTTTATGAGCTAAGCTGGTCAACTACCATCTGTGAATATCTTTGTTCCTCATGCTGTGAGTCTGGACGTTGATTGCAAGATGTGTTGGTCTAACCTCTTCTCTGGGCCAGGCTGGACCTAACTATGGCAAGGCCTTAATCCAATTTTGGTTGTCCCTACCGTGCCAAGAGCATTAACTGACCTTACTTATTTGCTTGTTAGGTAGAGTGTTCTGTTTAAAACCTTACAAGTCTAAATGTAATATTGATCACCATCTTCTGTCTGCTTGAATTCTTTTTTTTTTTATTGTTCCCCTTGTTTCTTTCACTCTCAGTAACCCTTTGTATCCTAGTGGTTTTTATTGCGTTACTTGAAATGAAATATTTTTTTTTAGGGAAATAAACGAGTTTATTGATATGGTGTTTTCAATTAATGTGTAACGCTGAGATAAGAGATTTTTCTTTTGATTCGATCACGTTATTCATGGTGTTGTTCTTTTTTCATATCGGTCTAATAGTGCGATTAGCTTTAATGGTCTCTTGTTTCCGCTGCTGACTTGAACTATTTGCATCTGTTCATAAAGGCGAGGCTAGGTTCGGAAAAAGCTTTAAAAATATGTTTTCGGTGGCGGATTTTGATTGGTTGAAAAATATATATGACAGTTCGCTGTCAGATTTCGTTTACTATTGGAAATGATTCTATGAACAATTTGAAATTGTTATTACCCCAGTAGGTCTTTAAAGAGTTACACAGCTACTGTAAACCTAACCGTGGCAGCTGTGGAATATTAAGTTTTTCGGCAAGTAATGCTGATATTATTTGGAAACGGAATGAAAACCCATTCAAGTATTACTTTCTTCTCGAATATGTAGTTTCCCCTGTGGAATATATGACGGCAAAATTGTCCAAATCGTGTTAGAGCATAATTGTCTATTCTACAAAATGTTTAATATCTAAAAAAAAAACCTAAACTAATTGAGTTTCTTTTTCCAGGTTTTTAGATATGTAGTTTAGCTATCTTGACATCATTTGTCGTAAGAATCATATTCAGTTAGAAAGAGAACAGGTTAAAATCGTTTTGTGTCAGGCCCACTGTCTTAGCAAATGAGCAATGGTGAGAGAAAAAAAGATCATTCAGGACTTCAGTAATGGTACCAACATTCATACTCTGGTTTCCATCTTCAAAGTCCATTCAAGAACTATCAAGAGAACGGAAAATAAGTTTAAAAAAGAAGTAACAGTAAAGAGGAAAACTGAATCCGGAGGTCACAAAAGGAAGTGGGATCATCATTTCAACTTAGAGCTAAAGAGATTAATTAGCATGGACCCAACTCAACCAATAAGAAGTTTGGCACGCGAGAGAGGAGTTTCAGCTATGGCAGTAAAAAAAGACTTGAAAATGAAATCGTACGTGAAACCTGTGAGGCAACTTGGTACTACAGGACAAAAAGTTAGAAGTTTAGAGAAGGCGAAGATCATCTTGAATATGTTGGAAAAAGATTCTGAAATAATATATATATATATATATATATATATATAAACTTTGTTTCAATCCTTCATGAGTTTCCGATCCTTAGCTATGATTAATTAATGATGAAAATGTCATTTTTGTTTATGAAAGATTAAACGTTTCTTCTGTTAAGCTTGGAGAGTAATTATACATACGTATTGCTCAAAGTAGAGCCCAATAGTGTTATAAAAACCTCTGACAATTCCAGTAAGATAATTTTAATTATTTATGAGATGCAACTGTTCAGAACTTAATCTAACAATTGGACAATTTTGCTGTTATAACCGGTATAGCTACAGGCACACCAAGTTAGCTGATGCAGACTTTGTGAGTTTCGCTGTTGAATATATAGCACTATTGCCAAACCATGCTAACTGTTCCTGATGTGGTTGCAGTAGCAAGTAAGTTTTGTATGGGGTAGAGTTGCTAGCCTCGCACCCAAAAAGTTTTGAATTCAGGTTTGTCTCTCTCACCATTGCATACTGCATGAACTCTAAAAGGGTAACACGTCTTGCTACAGAGGCATTTGCTTTGGTTCGTTTTATTTTACGGCATATCAACCTCAATGGGTTATTTAATGCCGACAAAATTTTTAGGGTATTTTCGTATCCATAGAATATGTATTCTTTGTAAGAAATCAGTTTGTAGATCAAGTTTCACTGAGTATATATATATATAAGAAGTGGTTTCACGCTCCTCAAAACCTCCCGAACGGAGGCCTTGCTGCTGGATGTAGTTTATCGTCTTACCCAGGACGAAAAGAGACATTTAAAAAAAAATGTGCAGTGTATACAGATGCATGTATATATCAGCTGTGGTTTAAAATGTTTTATGTCATATCCGACAGATCTCATATTTGAAAGAGACTCTTGAATTGGATCAGGCGCGAACACTGAATGTGACATGTTCAACTGTTTACAAATATCTCAAGCAAATTGGGAAATCTTTTAAAAGAGGTTATGTCGGGGAATCATCGGAGGTTCATAGTAAGATTTATCGGAAAACAGTGTTCCATCTTTGGTCCTAGTTTGTTTTTCATTTTCCTTAATGACCTTCCCGACAGCATCACTTCTCAACTTGGTATCTATGCTGATGACAACCATTTACTCCTGTCTCGATAGTAACTGAGGATTTCGATAAAGCAGCCGATGTCCAAAACGACATCTAGGCTGTTGTTGGCTTGTTAATTTTAATGCCCCCAAAACTAAGCTTCTCTCTGCCTTCCATCAACATAGCTGATGCTATCCTCCAGGAAAGTGACTCATTGCGCCTTCTAGGGTTAACGTTCTCAGCTGACATCAAGTGAAAAGACTGTATTGAATATATTATTAGGTGCTACAACTGCTAACAAAGTTCACTGTGTCGTACAAGACAAGTTTTCTCTCCAGAAACTATCTTACATATCTATAAGTTTACCATTTGTCCATGCTTAGAATATTGCTGCCACTTATAGTCTGGTGCATCTGTTATTTACCTTGATAAAATCCAAAGAAGAATCAGCAATATTATCGGGCCTGATCTGGCGTCTCGGCTTCAGTCACTTTCCCATCGCAGAAAAGTTACCTTCCTGTGTCTTTTCTATAAATACTTTCATGGTAATTGTTCAGATAAGCTATTCGCTATGGTACCTAGACTTTTTGAATTTAAGCGCAGTATTAGACTGATGTCAAGATCTCATCAATTTACTGTTGAGCTGGCTAGATGTAGCCGTAAATTCTATGCTAACAGTTTCTTTTGTCGCACTTCTAGCTTGTGGAACGTCCTTCCCACCCCCATGCTTTCCAGCCAACTTTAATCTCCAAAAGTTTAAATCTATTGTCAATCGCTATCTACTATTATTATCTATGTACTATTACTCTTTTTGTTTCTGGTCATTAGTAATGTTTCTGTTTCTAATTCTTCACCTCTAGTAACCCCTTGCGTCTTGGTAGCTTTACTACCTTGCATTGGGTGAAATCGATTAAAAAAAATAAAAACAAATTCGGTACACTTCGAAATAAAGTAACAGAATCAAAGATATAAACGAATAGTATATTTTAACGACTTCAATATTGGTAAAAGCCCTTTGTAGAGTTGGTTGTCGAAATCTTGTTGGTTTAAGTCAAATTTTAATAGTAGACGTCATTTTGTTGGCAGCTGTCGAAAGTGTGGTTGCTTTGGAGATATGTTGTAGTGTAAATATGCTGATTATATCGGACTTGAAAAAGGGCGCGAAAACGTCTTCGCAAACGACCTTCTTAGTTTTTCACGCAACATGTTCGGACGCGGTTTCTGACTCTCTCTCCCTGGCTGTCTCTCTGCTTGGTCGCTTATATACATTTTGAAAGGCTCCAAACTCCTTGTTCTTTTGATTGCCTAATATTATTTTGTTTATTTTCCGACGTTCCTTTCTTTTTCTTTTATTAGCGTGTGTAATGTGTGGAGTCTTCCTTGTTTTGGTTGATTTCTAATCGTAATAAATTTGAATCTGGACTAGCGAACTTCCATTTTGCAGCTGTCCTTCCGTCTTTTCTCTTTTTTGTTCTTTTTTATATGAGAGTTCTCATTAGTCAGCCTTCTCATTAGTTGAGAGAGAGAGAGAGAGAGAGAGAGAGAGAGAGAGAGAGAGAGAGAGAGAGAGATTATTAAGGAAAGTAAATGCCTTTATTTTAATTTTAATTTTTAATATTTTATTTTTATTTTACGCCACAGGTATTTCTATTTCACATGAACTTTGGCTTGAAAACCGAACATAACATCAAATCACTTTTGGATCAATCAACCAACGATTTTATCCACTGGGACATGTTTCCTTGCGGGGTGGGGGCACATGTCCCAGCGTTGGTTAATTGATTCAAAAGTTAGTTGACCCAAAGAGCTGAGAGAACAAACAACTTGGAGCGTTGAGTTATAAGTTGAATTAACTAAAACGGAGATATCCAAAGTCATGACATATGGAATTAGAATCTACCTCAGTTAACTAAATAAAGGGTTAGGTTCGAAATTCCAACGAATATAACTTGAAGAAGGACGAAGGGTACAACGGCCGAAACGTCGTGAATATGACAATAAAGATGAGGACAACAGTCCGAACAATGTAAATAGTGTAAATAGTTGCAATACCTAATCTCAGATTTATTAAAAAATATATCCAGTTTAAATAAAAAATGACTTCAAATGGCCGCACATTTTGGTTGATGCATTTTCATTTTACCCAGGAGTTGTTATCAGACAAAAAGGTAATTTACCTCTTGCTATACAGATGTCCATTTCAATTTAATTCAAATTGTCTATGTATGTATGTTTGCGCGTGCGCATGTACATTTTAATTCAATGACAGATCTAAAATATTTCGATTAAATAATTAAAAAAAACTTTTAAAATAATTATATTTACTACCGAATGATGCCAAAATCAAATAATTGCAACAATGTAAATATCTGGGAGGGCGGAAAGTGCGACACCGAAATTCGAAGACGCATTGAATGGTGATAGCTAAGCAAAGTATTAAGAAACGCGAAAATTTCGTTCGGGACGAAGAAAGGAGTATTGAACTGTTACGTAATATTAGTCATCCTATCCAGCAGTGAATGTTAGACAATCTCCCCACAAATGAAGAGATTTGAATCAACAGAAATGTGGTTCTATAGAAGGATACTGAGAGTATTATGGACTGAACATGCGAGAAACGACGGAGTTTTAGAGAAAATGGAAACACAAAGGACATATATTTAACATCAGGAAGAGATGAAATTTTTAGGGCAAATAATGAGGAAAGAGGGCTTGGAAATTTTGACAGATTGAAGGCAAAAGGAACAGGGGAAAGAGAAATAACACACTTGGCCAGCTTGAGTAAATGGATGACGAAACAAGGTTTAGGAGATAGAACAAAAATACAAAATTTATTAAAAGCTACAAAGTACAGGATATTGTGGATAGCCGTGATCATCAATGGTGAGGCATAGAAGAAGAACTGCTGAAAAGTTCAATAAAATCTTATAATTATCCATGTTTTCAGAGTTTAAAAAATTAACAGTTAAAAAATGGTTTTATTGCTCAACCCTGAGTAAGGTTGTCTAGACTGAGTGGGTGGGGAATGTTGTATTCCAATATCTTATTTCAAACTCATTCAAATTGTGTGTATGTGCGTGTGCGTGCATTAAGTGGCACCAGCACATGTAAGCCACTCACACACAACCGGGATATGCGCATATGCATTACATATGCACATGCAAATTCACACGCAGCCTGTGTGATGGACATAGAATCAATTTTTCTTTTATAATATAGATTGTTGAAGGTTACTTTGTCCTGAAATAATCGATTGGTTTCCACAAGTCATCAGATTTGTTTTCTTGTGTGACCTTAACATTAAATCACAGACCTGAAGTGTTCCGGTCGAGTGAAATAAAAACCGTTGAACCGAATATAACGATTCCAAACTAACCTTCTAACTTAAAATGGCGACGAAGAGAGTTCCGGTCATGCGCGATGATCGAAAGTAGCGTAAGAGCTGATTCTCCATCTGTTCTAGCCTTTCCGTTTAATTTTATAGTTTCATTACTCTATCTATCTATCTATCTATCTATCTATCTATCTATCTATCTATCTATCTGTTTCAGTCAATTCATCTCACTCTCTGTACACACACACACACACACACACACACACACACACACACACATATATATATATATATATATATATATATATATATATATATATATATATATAAAGACCGTAAATAAGATCATACAAATTGCAATAAACGAAATCAATAATTAACAATACAAATGTTTAGAAGTATATATCAATACTATTTACTTTCACGAAAAACCTACCGTGTATACTCGTGTATAAGACGACTTCATGTATAGTGCAACCCTTGAACTTTTTGCATGAATTTTAGCCCCTTAAGAAAAAAAGTTACCCGTGTATAGTGCAACGGTTAACCGAAAATGCACGATTTAAACCTTTAAAAAATTACCTGTGTATAGTGCGACCCTCTATTTTTTGTGTAAAAAATTGACCATAAAAACTTGCACTCTAGTCGATTATATGCATTATATGCATTATATGCACCATATAACATCAGTTTTCATTTTTGTAGGGACACACAAATTCAAACTAAACGTTAGGATTATTATACACTTATTTATTTTGGACAAGTATCCTCATCTTGTTTGTTATCATCACACTGTTTCGGTTGTTATATGCCTCGATCCTTTATTTCTGTCTGTGTTATAGTTGGTAACCTTCAGGGAATTTCGAACTCTTTATTCAATTAATGGAGTTAAATTGTTCTCGTTCTACTGTCTCTGATAGGTTGCGGAGTAACGCGTGGTAGGTAACCCTTTTTAGTAAATTCGGTCTTGTCTATTTTATTGATTTAGAGTATGTGACTTTCTTTTAACAGGAATTGAACTCATAACAATCGAGTAACTCGATTCGCATGACCAATCCACAAGGCGGGCAGGATGTTACTATAAAGGATAAGGCTCTTCGTCTCATTGGGGTTTATGTGCCCAATGATCATTCTGAGCGGCTTGATTTGTTTCGGCAGATTGAGCCGTCTTCGTTGGTTAGTATTAGTGGGTGATTGGAACCATTTCGGGACTTTATCGATGTTTGATGTTGTCGATAAGTATCGTAATGAACACCCTCGGGAGATAGTGTGGACTTGGACAAATAGCGGCGGCTCAGCTACGGAGGTGTGTTCAAAGTATATCAACCGAGTCTTAGTTACGAGAGTCGATGTAAAACTCTTAGGGTGTCCAAGCTTCCATTATATTATTTATTCGGATCATAGGTTCGTCCGGGTTCGTGTAAACTTAGATAAGGCTAAGGTTAAGATGGCTGGCTACTGGAAATTGAACTGCTCATGATTTGGTGAGTAAGATTTCCAGGACCAGCTGCTACTAATGCTGTATCAGGAACTGACGGGGGCTATGGTTGGGAAGATGTAGTGGGATAAATTAAAATCTTTCATTTTCTGCTAAATATAGTTGTCGGCTCAATTTAGATAGATTAGCGGCGCAAACAGAATGAGCAAAAAGTCGATCGGGCAGTAAAATCCCGTGATAGCCGGGACGTAGCTTTAGCTAAGATCTGGTAGTTAGGGCTAGGTTAAAAAGAATAAGGCCGCTGAATTGCGTGCAGAGGAAGTTAGGAATGCACCTCGTCAACATATCGTCAACATTGTCAGATAATCGGACCGTGACTACAAACGCGGGCATATGTGAAGTTTTTCGTGACTACTTTCAGGGTCTCTTTACCAGGAAGCTCGGTCTGAGTAGTGCTCAGTTCGACGCTTATTTAGCCAATTTTTTCTGTCTCGAGGCAGCTGAAGCGGCTGGGTGCGAGGGTCCTATCACAATGTCGGAAATCTTGGAAGCGCCGAAGAAAGTCGGCCGGGACAAATCTCTGGGATTAGATGGTCCACCCTACGAACTGTACTTGAGGCAGTCGCATCGTTTTTGCTCTTTTGCTGACACTGATTTTCAACAACTGGTTGAAGCAGGGCTCTATACCCCAATGCTTCACCAGGGGTGTGATCAAATTGCTTCGTAAGGACAAAATCAGTGTAGATGGCATAGGTAACTTTCGGCCTTTAACGATGTTAAATACAGAGTTAAAGATTTTAGCTAAGATCTTACACAACCGTTTTCAGGCTGTCCTCTCTAGTCTTATGGGCTCCGAACAGACTTGTGCTGTGACGGGCAGGAGTATTCAGGACAACTTTCATATGGTACGCTTGATCATCGAACAAATCGACCTTGAAGCCGCGCTGATGAATTTAGATCAACCCAAGGCTTTTGAATAGCTATCGATTTTTAGAGGCTGTCCTTTCGGCGGCTGGGTTTAGGCCGTACTTTCGCACCTGAGTCCGAATTCTGCATGCGTCCCCACGTACATTGGTGGAAGTGAATGGAGTTCGATCGGAGCCTTTCGTATTGTCTCGCTCCATTTGCCAAGGTTGTCCGTTTTCGCCTTTTCTTTACGTTCTTGCGTTGGAACCTTTCCTTCTCAAGTTAAAGACGAATCCGGTCCAACGAGGAATTTCTCTGTTGCTATCACCTCGGCCAGGTATTCCGCTTATACTGACAACGTTTCAGTCCTTGTGTCGAGCAGAGCCGAGATTGACGAAGTCAGCAAAGGAAAAGGAGTGTATAAGACGGTGAAAAGGGCCAAGATCAACCGCGACAAGTCTGTTGACTTGCGGTTGGGTGCGTGGAAAGCAGTTTCTCTTCCTGGACCTTTTCTCTGGACGGACGGGCCGGTCAAGTTACTAGGCGTCTGGTTCGGTTCCGATCTCTTGCTGGAAATGAATTGGTCGGAGGTGCAAGAGAAAGCCAATGTCGCAGGAGAAAGACGAGGTCGCAGGAGAAAGACGAGGTCGCAGTTCGACTGTGGTCCCGGAAGATTCTTTCCTTAAAGGGGAGGGCGGAAGTATGTGCCTCGCACATCTACTCAATTCTCCTTTTCCAGCTCTCTGTACTTTCACTTCCGTATACCACTCTAATTTGATTAATAAGGTTTTTTGTTCTTGTGGGGTGGCAAATTCGCAAAAGTACCTCGGAAGATCTGCTACCTCCACCCTTCTGAAGGCTGTCTAGGTACGCCTAGCGTTGAGACTCGTCAACATACACTTCGTTCGCGCTCCTAGATCGAATGTATAGCGATTCGGATGAGGTGGGCGAATTCTGTAATGAAGACGCCTGTAAGAACTTCCCATCCCCGAGAAGTGTGCATGCATGCGAGGAGGAGGCCCGCCGTTTACCCTAAGGTGAGTGCTTCTTCTATCATGAATGTCGCATTGCTCTGAAACACCTCTTACGGGCGTCGGATGGTTTCTCCAAGGTCCAGGCGTTGTCTCGAAAGGCATTATATCATGTGTTTGCTAGCGGATCCGTACGAGATGATTTGTTTGACGAGCTTCGTCTTACAAAGCAGGAGGCTCATTCATTATGGCCCTGGACGCCCGGGTTGAATTGCTTCAATAATAATGAGGCATCACTCACCTGGCTGGTGATTCGTAGAGCACTCGATTTTATTCGGCGGATATGGAAAAATCTCTGCGTTTCACTGTGATGGAAAGGTGGAGACCATAGGTTACGCATTCTTTCATTACAGGGTCGTAGTCTCGTTGTGCAAGCTTGTTGAAGGCTTCATGGTTCGCGCGCGGAAAGTTTTTCGTTCTGTCTGTAGCAATGTGGTACCGCTGATAACGAAGGCTAAATACTATGTGTTCTTTTGCTTGCTAGGTGTTATGAGAGTCGTGATATGGACGACATGTCAGAAGGGGTTCTATGGGGACGAGAAGTTCACTTCTCAACTGATCTTGTTCTTTAAGCATAAAGGGCGGAAAGGCGGCGGCTCCTTTCATCAGAATTTGGTAAAAGGTGGGTGAGTCTTGCACGTTTGTGCCGAGTAAGAGAAGCCAACTTAGAGTGGCATTTTGATGCCGGTTAGGCATTAGGAGATTTCACTGTGCTGAACATTGGCAACCCCGCCCGAAATTAACTTAGTTTAGGCTTGTTTTTTGTCTTTTAGTTTCTTCCGTAAGTTAACTTAGTTAGTGGATGTCTGCTCATTGGCCCCTTTTTATTTCTCTCCCCACTTTCTTTAGTTTAATTTCCCCTTACCACTCCCGTTAGGTGTCGAGAGACGTCAGTTCTATGGTGAATGCTGAAAGCCTTTCGTTTTCGGGGGTGTGTTTCGTAATTGTTTTAGTGTTTGAATGTGTGTTTGAGTGAATGGTTTGGACGAACGAGTGTTGTATCTTATTAAAGTTCCGCATTGATTTCGTTCAGTTAACGGATGTTTCTGCCACATTTAAAGATTTTTATTACTAACACTATTTAACTTAGTTTCTTGTAAATAGTTTTTTTTAAAAATTCATATTGTAAATACACATGAGGGTTTAGATATTAAATTGTTATTTTCCCCTCCCTCATAGACAAGAATTGTACATCTAGGGACTAGTTAGGACTTTCATAGAGACATTGTGGTATTATGGTGGTGTTAGTAATAATGGTAAGTAAGAATGCGTTGTTTTGGTGTGAGGAATATTGTGGTATGTTTGGGTCAGTGATTGTGGCGAGCTAAGTTTAATGTTAAGACAGTAGAAGACCGTCCATTTCCCCATTCCGAATTTTGGCCTTGTGCCACATTTTGTATGTATTCTACAAATAAATATAGATAATACTATTGCAATGACTTATCTAGCTCAATATTGAATACTGTTATCACGACTGATTCTGTTAAGTGTTGTGTCTTACCAGACCCCACATCACAACAGGGATAGACGGAGGGTGAGATACACTTGTCTGTGTTCTTATTGATAGACAATTTTTCAAAATCAATACAGTATGGCTTTCCGAAAATGAAAAGGCTTTCAGCATTTTTTTTGCTTAGAAATGACCTGAATCTTCTTTTATTTACCATTTATTTCGTCAGTGGAACGTCTCAATGGACGACAGATGAAACGCGTATATTCTCTCAGTAATAATGCAGGTACTTATCTGCACTGCTACTCGAATGGAATGTAACACAGGGTTAAGTTTAAAATGGAAGTCCAAGCGTACATGGATTAGATATAAAAACTGCTCAAGTTCCCTC